TACAGTAATTAAGCCCCTCTCAACTATGACAAAAACGTTTTGAACAAAGTTAATGTCATAACTTGTGTTTGATGTTATTTTTCTTTATTCACTTGGATAGTTTGATCCTTGATTGATGGAGTTATGTGGGTTTCATAACCTGACAAAAGGATTTATGTTATAATAGAGCAACAAGCAAACATATTTTTTTCTATGCAACTGTAATATTTGTAACTTGAATAAGTAATAAATTCAGAGTTATTTAACATTAAGGAGTAGTTACATTTATTTTACATTACATTTGGTTACATTTAGTTACATTTATAAGTTACGTCTGGCCCTTTGAGGGCAGCCATTATGCTGATGTGGCCCTTGGTGAAAATGAGTTTGACACCCCTGCATTAAGAGGATCTCTTTGTTGCCACCAGCCTTCAGACAGATTGTCAAGAGACACGTCCTTTTCACTGGGTGTCCTATACATAACAATAATGTTGAATGACATTTCAGAAGAGAAAATTACAGTAACTTCAACACATTCTGGGGCGTTTTTGGAAAGATCAATCTGTTTACATTGTATGTTGTTTTTGACAGAGAGTAGAAAAACCCTGCCTTTGCAATGAGCGTAGTCTCCTCTGAAGGTCTTGTATCCTGTAATATTAAAAATGCCTGAGGGAATTGTTGGAGTCAGTCAAGTCTCAGATACTGCTAAGTGATCAAGATCTGAGTCAAACATTAACTTTTTAAGTTGTTCTGTTGTAGATATGGTCATTAATGTGCGCACCAAACATCCCCTTTGGCTTAATTGTTGGGTCCCAAAAAACCCTAGCATGATTAACAGTCTGTAGCACTTAAGTTGTTTAAATATTGCCATGTTAACAGCAGATGGCACATTAGCAATAGAATTTTCCATGTCCCTTTATAAGTCAGCCTTACCATCGCTGCAGCTCTGAGGCCTGTGTTGCCCACACTGGCCAGCTTGTGTGGCTAGTGGTGGCAGTGGTTCATCAGCTGCTGGTTTTTGGGCCATAGGTACTGTTGGGATTCACAGCACAATTTATTTGTCTTTTGGTAAAATCTAAACTGGAGATTTAAAGGCTTTTTCCTCTGCATGCTTTTTGTCTTTAAACAAAGAGAGCTATGTGACACCCATCTCCAGGAGGTCTCACCTCACACCTCAGTGAGACACAAGTCTCACAACTTGATTGGACAGGACTTTTAGGCCCTGTTTAGACGACGGTTTCTCTAAAAACGGAAAAGTCTGTCCTTTGCGTTTTAAAAAACTTCTGCGTTTATATGACGCCGTTATTGAAACGATCCCCGTTCACACGGAGCCACAAAATCTACTGGAAATGCTGTAGTATGCATGCCAGGCCAATGGATGGCAGTGTAAATTTGCAAAGCAACACCACGGCATGACGCCATGCGCCTGCGCTGAAGCGCCTTCCTCTACAATGCGGTGATTACAAACCAAATCAAAGAAGACACAATGGCAAAAGCATGCACAGATAACTTTGTCTGGATGGACAACAAGGTGGAGATGCTACAGTAACAGATCTACACTTCACTTCAAATCAACAGCGAGCACAAGCAGAGCTCAGCATTGTTGTTGTGACGGTCGGCATGCCTAGTGACTGGACCCGTAATGCACGTGTGCGAAAAGTCTCCGTTTTCAGAGGAACTGCATATTGCAAGTTTACATGACAACAGAGATGCTGCCGTTTCCAAAACGTTGCACTCTGGAACCCGTTTTCAAAACGTTGCATTTTCAGGCACCCAAAATGCCACTATCGTGTAAACAATCGGCCAAAACGCAACTAAAGTCTACCATTTTCAGTTGAAATCGTTGTCGTATAAACAGGGCCTTACAGTGACATGTGATTCTGATGTCACACGCATCTGTAGAAGGTCTGCTCCCTTCAGACAAGCTCTCTTACTCGGGAACTGCAGAGCAGCCCACACCTTTTTCCTGCTGGGCCTGGACCAGCCCAGATGCTCAGACCCTTGCTCCTTGCCCTGAACCATCAAAGGTGGGGCAATTGATCACAGACTCTCTAACCTGAACCAGAAAGTTAGAGGTGCAAGCACAAGGTTTGCAGCTAGTTTTCCAGCAACAAGGAACTAAGTGAGTTAGCACCCAGCATCTAACTTTGCAAGGACCCCGAGTGACTGGCTTCCTCTAATCAGAACCTTTGGAACAAGGACACAGCAAAGACTGCAGCTGGAACCACAGCTCTTCCCAGCCTTCTTCTGCCGCCTAACAAAGCAGCACACCACCAAGTGACTCTTTCTTTCATCCACTCAAGGATCGGTAATGTAACAATTGGGCATAGCTTTATCACAGATTTACAGGCTAAGCAAGTCTGTTTAACTTGTTGTATGTGATTTAATGCTGTCATTGAGTTATTGTTGTGATTGTTTGCAGTTAGGTCATTGATTAGTTGGCTTCGCCAAAGCTAAGTGTTTAGTTTGCTAATACTGTTCACAACAGATTCTTGCACACAACTAAACAATCTCTGCAAGAATCCAGACTGTTTGCAGCACAAATCACATTGACATAGACTCATTAACAAATAGGCTTTCAACAGAGCTACACCCAACCAGGCATCTCAAAGTTCCCGCTTCTTTTCCTTTGTCTTTGTCCTGACCACACGGTCAGACAAACACCTCCCCCAACTGGAAGTCAGCTTTGATTCGGCCATTTGTAGTCCTCTGTTGTCAGCCATTTTGGTTTGTAGGCCAAACGGCTCTTTGATCACCACACCTGCCTTTGTCTTTCTTCTCTCTCTCTCGCACACACGCACACACACACACACACACACACCAAGCTTGTATATAGTTAGTTAGAATTTGTGTGTTTTGGTTTGCTTTGCTAGTTTGTGAATAAATATAATTCTTTGGAATCATACCTGCTGCCTGTTTAATGTTGCATAAGAGTGAATGAATGGTCAACCTCTGCTGCGTCAAGAACTCCAAAATCCTTCAGGCGTTACTGTTAATTTTGGTTGTTGTCATTAATTTAATTATTAATCAAACTCCAAATTAATAGTTTAGCGTATTTTATGAGACTGATATCTTTAACTGGCTATCATTTTCCCTTTACGGGAATGGTGGCCCACGAGGTGATTTAATGTTAATTAAGTCACACTATTTAACATAATTATGAATTATTATTAATATTATTAATTATTTCCGATAACCAAATGACCCCAACATAATTGGTGCCTCTGTGTGATGCCCTAATATGTTGATCACAACATATTTGGTGCTGCCATGGGAGACCGAAAATTATGTTTCCAACATATTTGGTGCCTCCGTGTGAATCCCGAATTTAAATCCCTACATATTTGGTGCCCCTTGGTGAGGCCTAATATGTTGATCCCAACAGTACAGACCAGCTAATGTCTACCAATGTTGAGGGTTTGCTGCAATGCTGGGGTGGATTCCCAATGTATTCCTCAGCTGCTGGGCCTTGGCTGTAGGCATGGACCAACTGATGTCCACCAGTGTTGAGGATCTGCTGTCACAAACTGGCTCAGTGAATGTGACAAGTAGGGAGTCCATACAAAAGATTTCGTTACAACAAACGTAATTAATTAAACTAAGATTAACTTAAATAAAAAATGGAGTGTGTATGTCAGCAAAGTCAGTAATTGAAGCCATGCATGGATGTGTAGGTAAGGTACACAGTGGAGGTGTTGATGGTGCAAAATCAAAAAGCAATGATACAAGGTGGACGTCTGCTGTAGGAAGAGGGAGAGCGAGTGTAAACATGATGCAGCTTTTATAGCCTGGAAGGCCCAGCTCACCTTAAGGCAACGACCCCCCCATGTTAGCTAACTGCCTGATGAGTTTGGCCAGGACATCCGAGACAATGGGAGGGGTGTCACACCCACCCTCTTAAGATCAAGGTTCCACCTTAAACACAAATCATACTAAACAAAGTTTGAAACAATACAATATGTAGAGAAAGGAATAACATTTCCCCACTTTTGACTTGTAGTCTACCAACTGTCCCCCTTACACTGGACTGGCCATCATACAAACATACGTTCATATGAACATTGACCTAAACCTCCACCCACCACCAGCCATCTTACCAAATCAAATCCCTCACCCAGGAACTTTGGATCCAGAGGAGCAATTTAAGGATGAGGGTCCACCAAAGCATCCATGTGAAGGCTCTGGGATAGTGCTGTGCTTTGACACCTTTCTTCACCAAAGCCCACTCCCTTAGAGTTTGTGCAACATTGATGAGGTGCTGGGTAATTATCTGTTTCAGGTCAGGAGCTGTGTGTTTGTGGGGGAGACAGAACGCCCTTTACCTTTACCTCCCTGAACCTTTTTTTTTTTACTTAGCAGACCTTATAGAGGCAGAAAAATGCTATATAACACACTAAAGAAGAGGGGAAACCCCAAAAAGCATAATAGGTCTCCTTTAATGGAAGCTGTTGTGTCTTCTCCTTGCAGGACATGTTAAACAGTAGTTTTAAGGTAGATCAGCACAGAAGAGAAAGAAGCACAGGTGTTACTGATAATGTGAACATATAATTTAACATGTACTGCATATTCCTGTTGTAATGATGGCCATCGCTCAACCATTTTCTTTTTTCTCTCTCACTGAAACACGCACACACACACACACAGTGTGTGGTATATGGACCTGATCATACAGCTTAGTCAGTACTAGTAATATTAGTATTGGGATGTGCACTAAGAAGCAGGCACAAAATTCACGTCAAAATTTCTTGCAACATTTTCTAATTTCATATACAGTATGATAAATGATGTGGCAATGTTGTAGAAGAACAGTTCCCCTGCAAAAAGCACAATTCTAACCATACAGGATCATTTGAACCTCTGTTTTTCAGTGCATCATCTCAGCAGTTTGAATACATCTTGGGTGTACACACATAATAACATGCATTTTTGTTTCTTCTGTCATTAAAGGGACAGTTTTAAAGGGTAGGTTGGTAAGAAAAGTCTGTGTATGTGTGTGTGTGTGTGTGTGTGTGTGTGTCTAGGTCCATTCTGGATCTGTGTGACACTGGTGTTCTCAGTAGCAATCAGTGGGAACTTGTCCACCTTCCTCAGTGAGATGGGAAACCCTTCCTACCACTACAGACCACAGTTCCACAGAGGTTAGTAATCCACATTATGCCAGAATAGTTTCTTAGATGTTCTTAGTCTTGATGAGTCTGCTTTCTTTGTCCTTTTTTTTCTTACCAACAGTCACGATAGCTGCATTAGTGATCTTCATGTATGCCTGGCTCGTGCCGATTGGTTTATGGGGTTTCTTGACCTGGCGTCAAGGGGCTGAGAGGCAGATTGGAGGCTATTCATTTCTGGAGACTGTGTGTGTCTATGGCTACTCCCTCTTCATTTATATCCCAACCTCGGTGAGTTCATCACTCCCTTTTGAGTTTTATTTATGGATGTCAGGGTCACCATAAGACAAAGACAGACAAACTATTTCAGTATAGAGCACCATGTGTATTGGCTTTAGTTTGAGTCTAAAGATGAAAAATGGGGAAAAGGAAAAAATCTGTCTAAATTATCCCAGCAGCTTGCCGTCTTTCCACCTGGTAAAAATCAAGATCAGAACAGTAAAGACAGACTAGAAAATTTGATAAGACTTTGTATGAATGTTATTATTATGCATCATAAGGTCATTCACAAGACATAATGCATTTATAAGGCTTTTAAAAACATGTATAAATCTTTGCATGACAGCTTATAACAAGGTTTATAAAGTATTATAAGTGTTGGACATAATTTCAATCAGGAGAGACTTGTTTTTTTATGGTAAAAGAATATTTATTAATGTACACATGAGAATAAAAATGTGGACAGTCTTTGGCGATTAGACCCTGTAGAGATGGTTTGATTTAAGGTGGGTGATGAATCCATAGTCGAATAGGGAACCTCCCCTGGGGTCTAGACCCTGGTGGTGGTAGAGGTGGTGAAGATGAGAGGAAGATGGAGAAATGCTGATGATCTGGATGAGTATGAGCCTTTGTTGAGCTTGTCCTGGACTCTGGATACGATGGCTGGAGGTGAATTGGGTGGAGGAGCGTGCGAAGATTCTTCCTAAAACGATGGCTGACAGCAGCAGAAGACAGAGCAGTTTTAAAATTTTGTAGTGGCATCCTGATTGGCTGAGAGAGATTGTGGCAATGTTTGATTGGATAACTATAAGAATGAACACCCATAGTTAGCTGATTAGAGGGAGTAGTGTGAGTGGGATGGAGAGAATTGTGAATGGATGAGCACAAAAAAGTCTTCCTGATTGAACTTATGCTGAGCTTCATGTGTTCTAAGTTTAGCATTCATAAAGCTTTAAACCTTCATACCAAAGTGACAATAGTGTTTGAAAGATGACTCCACGCACTGGGTTACACAGCACAGATATACTTACTTTACTTTACTACTTTAGTAATTTAAAGTTACTGAAATGGAATAAACAGAATATTAATGTTATATTATAAACATTAACAATATGCTATACCATGACTTTGTGAGCATTAAGAAAAGTGACAGCACTGTATATATGTATTAGCAATTGTATGACACTACAACACAATTACTTGGACTCATGAGCAGTATTTGCTGGCTGCAAGTAAAGTGTAAGACAGAAAATACAAATATAGTTGTGGTTCAAGTCAGCATGGACCTTTAAAACTTGAATCTGTGTAGGACCCAGACACCTGCATTAAAAATAACTGGTTTATGATGATCGACATTCATTTATATCCAAATCTGTGCTGGGCCACACTCTTTGGAAAGATTTTTGCTTCCTATTGGTCAGTTGCAGAAACATTTTGGGAACATGCTTCAATGGCTTAGTTAAAAACATCCACTGAGTTTGGTGACATTTTTTGTGAAAAGCCAATGCACTGGTGGCGCCCCCTAATGACCAATTTCAAATAATTTTACACATGTGGTTCAACATTATTTAATATATCTGATTCATAGTCTGATTTGTGCATTTATAGCGCCCCCCAAGTGGTCAATTTGAATGACACTTTCAGGGTATGTTTAAGGCATTCTCGGAACCCATTGGCTGTATTCGGCGTCTGACTTCCGGCAGACGGTGATACAGCCTCTGGGGGCAGACCACCGATTTTTTGGCATTGTGGCATTGTGGGCGGAGGAGGCAAATTTCCGTTTCCAACTTCGGTTTATATATAAGTAAATATGCTGAACCACTGCGATAGATTCAGAGTTTGCAGTGACGCCAATTATGTTCCGCCTCGTTAGTTCACTGCACGGACCGTTTAACCTGGCAACAACTGCAGCCGGCTCAAACGTGATTGGTCAATATCATGCGGACTACAAACAGCCTACAACAGGAAACCAGGGCTCCTCCGCTCTTCTTCCGGAGGCAAGATTTCCGGGGTTTGCCTACAGACTCTACATTCACTGAATGTAGAGTTTGTATATAGAGACTATGTTTAAGGTACTTAAGCGGATATCCCACAAGTTTCGTGATGATAAGCCTAACTGTGCATTCACACCAAAAGCGTCATGAGCGCCAGCAGTCACTCAGGTCGCTGGCATCGCGCTGCCTGGCAGCAGCTCCAGCAGGCGCTTGCAGTGGCCAAAGGGGCGGGGCTGGCTGCTGCAGATGTGTCCATCAAGGCTGACACGGCTGTTCACTTTACAAGGATGAACAAATATATCATTTATGTCTTCACTTTGTATTATCCATGACTTTCATTGCACAATTAAAATAACGCTAATAAACACAGTCAATATAGCCTTTATGAGTCCTTTATAATTATGATTTTACTCTCCTGTTGGCACGTAGGACCACTGAGAAATGTAATTGGTGGTAAATAAGCGGGAGCTCATTAATCGCACTTTTCGGAAGCCTCCTTTGTACTGCATCGGCGTATTTGCTGAGGTGACACAGGGCCCAGAGCCGTCGGGCCATCTGGGTCCACAGAGTCCTGCAAACCCGGCAACTCCATGGTGAATTTCACCGGCTTGTACAGCTCCGGGAGAGCCCAGACCTCCGTACTCGAATCCCGGTCTGCAATTGGCTGCTGCTTCGGCAGCGGCACTGCTCATTTGCATAAAGTTCAGCTTCTCTCAACTTCTACTTGACGCTCTGGTCGCTGGCATTGCGCCGCTCACTGCAGCCGATGCCCCTGACGCCCTTCGTAGCAAGCGTACATTGAAAATGAATGCCTGCCGGCCGCTTATGACGCTCATGACGCTCATGACGCTTTTGGTGTGAATGCACAGTAAGTGTTGTGGAGTATGATATATTTATGTGCTGAGCCAGGCCAAGTTCATTCAAGAATATTTCTTCAGAATGCAATGAGATATCAACAAGCTTTAATAACTTTTGATAAGCTTGGTCAAATAATGATCCACAGAAAATGTGATATGAATCAGACCTGTGGTTTAGGAGATGCCAAAAATGCATTTTTCAACTTCCGGTTTAGCGATTAATGGAGTAAGACAAGACTCTCTGGGCTCTTGCAGCAGTCTATAAAAATCCTTCTATAGACACACTTTTTGCACTTTTTGGTGTAAGTTTTGCTCAATACTTTTACTTTTGCCTCCCATGGAGCAAAATGCCTTCAAAATCCAAAACTGGGAGTACTTAAACCACACAGCCACAACAGCCTTCTCTGCACATTACACCGCCACCTGGTAGTGGTGACACTGCCTGCCCAGACGAAGCCGAGGGCGCCACAGTCACGCCATCAGATACTACGGCCCCCTCCGATTTCAAAGCCAGGCTGCTCCCTTCCCTTTGCACCGAGATGGCGGTAATCTTCAAGACCGAGCTTAAAGTGGCTTTGAACAAGAACCTATCAAACACATAGACTGTGTAAAAATATGGACATAGTCACCGTGATATCACCCATTGGTTTCTGAGGAGCGGGTTTGAAGCTCAAAGTAAGTGGCTCTGGCTGTCGCCATCTTGGCAGTGCCTGACTCCGCCCAACTCCCGGCCAATCAAAAATGGGCAAAGAGGCGGGCCAAATGAAGCCTGGTTGCTTAAACACACCCACCTCGCTTGAAGCTGCTAAGTTAGCTAAGGCTAACAAGCTACGTTACTTTGGCTAGCCCTGTGGTGTTGGCTGCTCCCACTCATGCTCCCACTTGGTGCCAGCTCCCTCACGAAACAAAATATCCAAAAGGCACAAACATGGCTGAGAGGTCAGGTTCAGTGACTTGCGAATTAGCTGAGATGACGCCTAGCAGACAGCCAGCAGCCATCTCCACCTTGCATCTTGTATTTGGACTGTTCTGAGTGTTCAGGGTTTCTGTGTATGCACATGCTTGTTTGTTTTGTTTTGTTTTACCTTCACATATATATATTTTTTTCTTTTCCTGGAGGGGTTGTGGCTCCAGGTTTCACCACTCTCTCGATATATACAGCCATTCAATAGATGGCCACTAATATTAGTAACTCAGGGATTTTAATTCTAAAGCCATAGGGGTTGCTGTTCTAATTGGTATATTTTTAATTAATTTAATTTAATTTAATTTTAATTTTATATACTTTATTAATCCCCCTGAGGGGAAATTCAATTTCAGTACATATATATAATTAGCAGTACAGTTTTCACCCTCTAAAACTATATCTGATAAAAATGGCAGATATTTGTTGATTTGCAGACTGAATTTGATCTTGTCACAACCACTGATGTCGAGCGCCTTTTTTTATGCTCGCGTTCCACGTATTATGAGCATGCCAATAAGGCAAGCCGGCTCCGGGCACACCAATTACGCCGCCAGACAGCCTCACGTATGAAAAAAATAAATAAATTAAAAGATTCCTCAGGCACTTTACACACGGACCCAGCCACAATTATTTTTGTCTTCTGTTCGTTTTATTCTTTCTTATATACATCTAAAATGGTAAAAAAATAAAAAAATAAAAAAATAATATTAAATCACATTTTCCCATCTCAGGTATGTAGATTTTATTGATGCCACACAATTATTTTCAATGTCCTGACTGTAACACCAACTATTATAATCCAGTGTGAAACAGAGCTCAAGCTTTTTACTTAGAACACTGGTGCTAGGAAGAGCATTGTGATTTCCATCAGTCTTCATCACTGCTGCTCCTGTTGTCAGTACTTTCACTACTGCTGCTTTCATCACCTGGTGTAGAAAAAAGAAATCACTATATAAGAGTGCAGACATTTTTATCTACATTATATACACATCATGTACACATGGTTACACTCACAAACATATGACCATGTGTAAACGACAAAAAGCTGAAACTCTACACGAAATTATTGCATTATTACTGCTGTTTTTTTTTATAAGATTATCTATTTGGCCTGTTGCTTCAGGACAGCATGAAATGGGGAAATAGAGAATGGGCCGCAGGCCGGGATCGAGCCCGCGACCGCTGCGGCGAGGC